CTCTGAGCCACGACGATACCAGTTGATCATGGGTCAGTGAGGCCACAGAATGCAAAATCCTGGATGGTGGTAGGGATACTACTGCTTGGGATAATTCGTTTGTGTGTGTGTGTGTGTGTATCCTATAGAGACACATTATAGTCACAGTGTTTGTAAGGATTTTGGAGGGATGTAAGTGTTTTATATACATGGGTAATTTGTCTTTTTTTAAGATTTATTTTATTTATTTGGAAGAGTAACAGAGAGAGGGAGAGAGAGAGGGAGGGAGAGAGAGAGAGAGAGAGGTCTTCCATCTGCTGGTTCACTCCCCAAATACTCACAATGGCCAGAGCTGAGATGATCGGAAGCCAAGAGCCAGGAGCTTCCTCCGGGTCTCCCACGCGAGTGCAGGGGCCCAAGGACTTGGGCCACCCTCCACTGCTTTCCCAGGCAGATTAATAGGGTGCTGGATGTAGCATCCTGAACTGGAACTGGTGCCCACAGGGGATGCCAGAACTGCTGGTCAGGGCTTTAACTCATTGTGTCATAGCACCAAGCTCAGGTAATTTGTCTTAAAGTCAGATCTTCCAGGCCCACGGTCCATTGACTGTCTCATCTGTACAGTGGGGCTAATATTACCTTGGACAACACTGCCATAAAGGTCAACTATGAGAGCAAACATGCAAAAATGCACAAGAAGAGCTGTGGATTGTAGGCCACTGAGATCCTTAAGTGTCACCATTATCATACGGAGGGCTTCTATTTGCAAGATCAGGATTTGTTGTGAATCCAGCATATGTAGAATTCCTTCCACAAGTGTACACACACATGGCTTTAGATGCACATACAAATAGATTTTCAATTCACCCAAGTTAAACAGAAAACAAACCCTATAATGGTTTCACCACTGAAATGCCCACATGTGCCAGAACATTGCCTTTGGCTACCAAGAAACACTCAGAATGTAACCATAGGATAAAATCACGAAGAAAACTTGGAAATCAATTAGTGGGTGAAAGGTACTTACATGCTTTTCAACCAAGCTGGCCGGTCCAAAAAGGCTCTTGTGAATAAAGGTGACGTTTGAGGTTCTCCTCCAGTCACCACTCTCACGGTGCATGGGTCCTGTGGGGATACGACGTGCAGAGAGGGGAGCTCTCAAGGGCTGTAGCATGTGATTCCAACACAAACCGCTCTTCGGCAACGACAATAGCAAAGGCAAACAGATTGGCTGGTGAGCAAGAGCAGTTGAAGGATGGAGGAACTAACGTAGTCCTGGAGAACAGAGGGAGACTCCTCTGGGGTTGTAGCATCACGAATCTCCCTGGGTCATGGGGGGTTTGATTTCATTGTTTATTAACTTCTCACTCAAAGTTCTTAACTCCAGCAGCTTGTCCTAGCATGGCGATATTCTCCATCAGTAGATCCGTGCATTTAAGCAATCAGTGGATGGCCTTGCCCCTATGCTGGTTTCTAGGAGAGGGACCGCCCTCAGCTGTGACCATGTGGCAGGAGAGACAACACCGTTGCCTTCTGAGAAGCTCTGGGCAGATCTGAAAGTCCTTGTTGGGTTCCCTGGTGTCTCATCTCTTGCCCTGGGTGCTTTTGGGTGATCTGCAAACGGCTCCCAGACCTCCTGCTCCGAAACTGAGCCCTCCCTCCTCCTGCTTGGTAGTTTCCCTTTCAGGCTCCCTCAAATCCTTGGCATAGCTCGGTGTGCACAGGGGTGATAACCTCATGAGCTGTGTGCTTGCGTCCCAGGGCCTCAAGGCTCTCTCTAAGTGGCTTGGTAGAAGGATCTGCTGGAAGTTACTGGTGCCCAGCATAGCACTAAGTTACGGTCATTGTCACAGTAGGGAAAATGCCTTTTCCTTCTAAAATGCTTATTTATTGCTTTTTATTTATTTGAAAGGGGGGAGGTGTTCTGCCAGGTGTGGGCCAGGCTGAAGCTAGGAGCCAGGAGCTCCATCCTTGTCTCCCACCTGGTACACAGGCCCACAAGCATGGGTCACCTTCTCAGTCACACGTGCAGGCAGCTGGATCAGAAGCAGAGCGGCCAAGACTTGAACTGGCACTCGGATACGGGATGCCAGCGTTGCAAGTGGCAGCTTTACCTGTCACATCACGATGACTGACCCTTTGCTTTGTTATTTTTTTAACTTTTATTTAGTAAATATAAATTTCCAAAGTACAGTTTATGGATTACAATGGCTTCCCCCCCATAACTTCCCACCAACTCGCACCCCTCCCATCTCCCGTTCCCTCTTCCATTCTATTCACATCAAGATTCATTTTCAATTATCTTTATATACAGAAGATCGATTTAGTATATATTAAGTAAAGATTTCATCAGTTTGCACCCACACAGAAACACAAAATGTAAAATACTGTTTCAGTACTAGTTACAGCATTACTTCACAATGGACAACACATTAAGGACAGATCCCACATGAGAAGTAAGTACACAGTGACTCCTGTTGTTGACTTAACAATTTGACAATCTTATTTATGGCATCAGTAATCTCCCTAGGCTCTAGTCATGAGTTGCCAAGGCTATGGAAGCCTCTTGAGTTCACCGACTTTGATCTTATTCAGACAAGTCATAGTCAAAGTGGAAGTTCTCTCCTCCCTTCAGAGAAAGGTACCTCCTTCTTTGATGGCCCCATTAAAAGGATTTGTTTATTTGAAAGGCAGAGGTAGAGAGAGAGAGAGAGAAAGAGAGAGAGAGAGAGATCTTCCATCCGCTGGTTCACTCCCCAAATGGTCACAATGGCCGGAACTGGGCCAATCCAAAGCCAGGAGCCAGGAGTTTCTTCAGGTCTCCCACGTGGGTACAGGAGCCCAAGGACTTGGGCCATCTTCTACTTCTTTCTCAGGCCATACCAGAGAACTGGATCAGAAATGGAGCAGCTGGGACTCAAACCGGAGCCCATATGGGATGCTGGCACTTCAGACCAGGGCGTTAACCTGCTGTGCCACAGTGCCAGCCCTTGCACACTAGCTTTTACAAGGGAAAAAAATGGATTAAATTCAACCTTATATTAGGCGCAACAGTAGAAACTAAAGTAGTAGAAACTCTATCAAAAAATGAGTAACTCCTTTGAGAAAAGGACAGGCAAAGCAGTAAGATAATCAGTAGTTCAGCTCTGCTCACTCTGTGACAGGTGCAGGGCTTGGCACTGGTGATCCTGAGAGAGTTCTGACTCCTGCCTTGGGAGCCCGCAGCCTCTCAGGGGACCAGTCCATATCCAAGAGTCCGCGGCGTCGTGTTGAACAAAGCATGGAAGGAGGAGTGGGCTTGGAGTCTGCAGAGGTGGACGCGTCCTTTCAGACGAGGGCACAGAGACCCACAGGGTGAAGCCGATCGCAGAGACCCCCTGACGTGTGGTTTGGTGTGCACCAACGGACACGCTCTCCTGGAGACTGGGCGGATGGATGGCTGAGACCGAGCCAAGGTGGCCTTGATTATCCCTTAGAGGGGAAGTGGCCATCAGAGCTTTGGAGCCAAGAAGTCCCAGGCTGGGCTTCTCTGGATGCTCGCTCTCGTGTCCCTGGGGCAGATGGGATGGGAATGTGGAACTGGAGTCATGAGGGCCTGGCTGCAGGCTGCCATGCTCAGAGTCTAGGCACGCCTTGGACCAGATTCTCAAGGGGAGATTTTAAAGAGATTCAAGAGGGAGAATGCATTGGTCTGGAGATCCTTTGGCTATGAAAACAGTGCAGACTCCTGAAGCTGACTAAGGAAAAGCACACGTCTAGCCCTGGACGCAGTTTGGTGGGCAAGTGATCCCCACATTATGGTGACCTGCAGTTTCTCAGGAGTCAGGCTGTTCTGCTAACCAGATGCACAGGGCTCTGCCATTTCTGCTCCGGAAAAGTGCTGAACGTGTTGTTTGGCTGTTTTCTGGGGCAAATAGTTAGGCCTATTTGGTCACTTGTTTATTCCGTTTTATTTTAATTGTTTTGAGCCAATGAAACTTATTCCTGGGTCTGACCTCTCTGGGAGCTTCCGGGAAGGCGACATGCACAGCTTCCCAGCCCTGGGAGCGACCCGATCACCCCACTGTCTGCCCCATCCCGTCCCCGTGCCAGCTCCACCAGATGGCAGACGGAACGCGTGCAGGATCCGACCGTGGGCACCAGGCAGACATCCACAGGAGTCCATCTTCTGTTCTGAAGTGCAGGCTGGCTAGCAAGTTTCACTTCAAAGTTCTCTGCTCAAAAGTCTGACTTCCGAACAACTCAGGCTGGCCCAGCGGATGTGATCATGCTTGTCCCTGCCCTGTTTTCTGCTGCTCCTCCCCTCTAACCCTCAGCTTCCACACATCCCTCCAGTTCAGCCCCTCCAACGCTGTCCTGCAGCCAGGCCCTCTCTCCCCAGTGCCCATGCTGGGTTTCCTCGACAATATAAGAGTTCCTGGGAGGCTAAGTAAGGGGCCTGGCTTTGTACTGGGACCTGAATCCTACTCACAGATGAGGAATTTATGGTCTTTTGTGTAGCTGGGCCAGCAAAGTGCAGCCCCTAGGCCAGATGGGCCTCTTGTCTGTTTTTTCTGGCTTTTACCTTTTAAAAGTGGTTGGGAAAAAATGAAAATATTAATATTTTATCACACCCGAAACTGGCATGAAATTTCACCTTTCAGTGTGGATCAGGGTAGCTTTGAATTGTATCCACGAAACACTGGGGAAAATTTGTTTCCTCTGTTGTTCTCTAAGTACAGGCCTGGGATGGCTGATGTTACCTCTTGTCCTGCAAAGCATCAACCATTGATTGTCTAGGCGTCTCTTGCACCAACTGCAAACTCTGGGTGAAAGACTCTGGCCAGAATGGGATGATCTTTGAAATCCCACTTTAGGTGCCTGACATATTGGCTGCTTTTCTGTACTGAAGGACAGCAGTAGCCCTAATGATATGGGCAACACCAGTGCCACTGATGGCGACCCTGGGGGTCTGGAGGGGTGGAGAGGGGACAGGGAGGATCTGAACAGCAGTGTTGACCAGCCACTCTTTCTGCCTACAGGTCACAGGCCTTTCCAGTGTCGCTACTGTCCCTACAGTGCCTCTCAGAAGGGGAACCTGAAGACCCACGTCCTCTGCGTCCATCGCATGCCTTTTGACAACAGCCAGTACCCTGACCGCAGGTTCAAGCGCTCCCGAGTCGACTCGGAGGCTTCTGGGAATTATGAGGAGCCCACAGCTGTGAAGGCGGGGAGCTCAGCAGAGCTGGCGGAGGAGGGCGCCAAGTGCCAGGAGGACAGCCACTGAGCAGCCCCGAACCCTGCACCTTGCAGTAGGATTTCACGCAGTGTTAAGGTGATGCATCCGGCGGAAGAGTTTGCTAACGGCATTCCAAGGGGAAAAAAATCACGTGCGATGCCCCTCCTAGTGTATAGAACCTTTACAAAAATTTTAAAAGATATCTATATATCTATATATCTATATTAAAAAAAAATCACCCAGCCCTTGAACATGGCTGCTAAACTGTTACCTGGCAACAAGTACTTCCAAACAATGCAGGTGGGTAGAAAAGCGATTTCAAAAGAATGCTTGTGTCCTCCGAGCACGAGAAAACCCGGGGGCCCTTCCAACTCGAACATCGTCTTTGTCCCAAAATAATGCTCTTAACCGAAAACCGATACCATCTAAATGATTCAGTGCTGCCGTGCCGATGGAGGGAGGCTGTGTTTTCGTTGTTGAAAACACCTCTATCATCTGACACCAGCTGCCGTCATTTGCCTAGCACCCTAATGAGATGTGTTGGGAGGCAGCTGTGGTGCCAGTCAGACTGGAGCGGTCACTGCAGAGAAAATCGATTCACGTGGTGTCGTAACTGCACTCTCGGAGAAACCCTAGACGGCCGGCGGCCAGCACCAGGGCTGACCGGCACTGCAGAGGACGGCGATCTTAAATGTGGATTTTTTTTTTAAATATGCAGCTAAATGAATCAATGTTCAGGAAGTGTCTGCAGACAGATGCCCAGTGCAGATTTGATGAGTGATTCCTTTTTTTTTTTAGATCACATTGCAGTAGCGAGGGAAATATTTTTTTTGGCTGCCATTTTTTTTTTGAAATTTTTGAATGGGGAAGAAGGTTGATATTTTACAACAATGTCGGGTACATGATATGAAATGTTCTTAGAGAAGCTATCCTATCCTATCCATAAAGGTGCTGATGAGAAATGGAAATTTACATGATCATGGAATTTGTTAATTTTTGTTAATTATGATTTTAAAAAGTTTACTTGAATGCTGGCTGCTCCGGTCCTTAGTATCAGATTTTTTTTTCAAGTGTTAGTTTTTATAAGTGTCACAGACATGAAGCAAGATTTTCTTCTCCAGCAAGCTCTCACGAAATAGCTTGTATTAAAAGGTGAATCTGAACATCGTGCTATCTATCTCTTAATGAAGAAAACTGTTTGAATTAGAATGTCTGTTTTTGTAAAACAAATGTGTTCTATATTTTTGTAGATTTTAGATTTTCTACCGATTGGATACTCCAAATTCATCAAATTCTGCACCACACAGAAGCGACACGCTGAGGGTCGAGAAAGACACACTTCACTCACTTTAAACAAAACAAAACAAAAAAACCGATTTCAGAAGACTCGTTAAAGGTTTCTTCTGGAATGTGCTAGAAGGGTATGAGTTCGGCCTTTTCGCCTACTTCTTTTGAGTGACACGACACTGGTGCTGTCGCTCGGGATGGTAGAGAGGTGTGGAAGTATTAACTTCTTCTAAAACAAAATCATTCAGACTGTAAAACAAAAAAAAAGTCAATATTTCCTTACAGGCTGGGAGCGCAGAATAAAACCCCAGGGCCTTAAAAACTTCAGCTCTGCCTACAGCAGTTTACAAAAATGCTAAACTGCAATCAGTGTAAATAAAATCCTTAGCGCTATCTATCCTGAGCCCAGAAGGAATCTGAGGTTGATGGGGAGCCGGGTTTGCTACAGCTGTCAGAGGGGGTGGTCTCCCCGAGATTTCAGTGGAGGTGGGGTGGGGTGGGGGGCGTCCCTTGCACCCATCTGGCCTGGCGCAAGCTGCTTTCTTGTTTTTCTAGTCTAGTTCTCACTGCCTTACTTAAATCGAGTTGATACACTTAATGCAACTGTTTCTATGAGCCTAGAGAAAGGACTGAGATGTTACTGAAAACTTTCTGAGTGTAGTAAGCTTTAGGATTTTAACTGCACTACCGTGTTTGGTGACTGTGCCAGTCGCTTGCTTTCTGTGTGTTTGCCCCGCTTTTGGTATCTTAGCAAAGAAAAAGAAAAAAAAAAGAAAAAAAAAAAAGAAAAAAAAGAAAAAAGAAAAAAAAGAGGAAAAAAAGTGGAAAAAAAAATGAGAGCCACATTCCATTTCTAGCACTCGGGAGCTCTTCGAGTATTCGTTGTGTCTTCTGGGCATCGTCAGATGCGGCAGGCAATAATTCTGTTTGTGACACTGGGAACACCCCCTCTCCTTTGTGGCGTGCGTGTGGATTTCCATTTTGTCCAGTGTGAGCCATCCTGATTCCCCCTCTGACACAGGCCTTCTTTCCAGAACATTTGTAACTTGTAATACAAACAAGTGACAGCCGCAGTGATGCAGTGTCAGTTTCTGAATGTCATCAGGTTCCCATATCTAAACATGTCAAGTCCTTGCCCTGTAACTTTGTAGTCTGTGATACTGTCTCCATTCCTGCACCGAGAAAACAACATCTATCTTGGAGGAAATCTGAGATCCATAGAGTAGAGGATTTTGTTGCTATGCTTGTAACAAGTAGAGAACTTTGTATTTAAAGTTTATTCTTGGTCATTATTTATTATTATAATACATCAGTTGACAGAACTTTATTCTGGTATAGAAAGTATTAAAAGTTGTTTTTTCAGCAATGACTGTTTTCTTTCTGCTGTTAGAATAAAATGTCTTTGAAGCAGTCCAGTTTTATCCAGTGTTTTACGCAATAAAACCTCTACCTCTGGGAAAAAAAAAAAAACAAACCCACATCTTTTCCTATTCACTTTACTGCAAAGAATAAAACCTGTGTGTGTGGAGGGGGGTGGCCATCAAACTTCGGCAAGACTTGGTCCAACCCTACTTTTTTAAAAGCCCTGTAGCATTCTGGGAGAGCCGCATGCTTTTTCCAAGGGACTGAGTCTCTGTGTAGTACAGTGTGTGTGTGTGTGTGTGAGTGTATGTGTGTGCACGAGTGCCTGTGTATACCCAAGTGCTTGTATGAACCACACTTCATTTTCCATAACATCAAACTATGGGAATATTAATGCCCCTTATTGTGGTGATCATAGCAGGAGCCATTTAGAGCCCTGGAGTCCATTATTCTACTTTACTGGTAAAAAGTATTTTTTTTTTATTTCAAATCATTAAATGCAAAGAAGTCTTTCCCCACCAAATTATCCGAAGACAATCCAGATATTTCCTCTGGAAGAAAACAGCTTGGGGGCCTGGGAGTGTGCTCACCACCTGATGAGCGAGTTTTTTTTTTTTTTTTTTTTTTTTAGTTTGGCCCAAAAAATAAATTTGCAGGGTGCATGCTAGAGCTCCGGCTCATGGAGGGCCCGTGCGGGTTCGGCCAGCAAAAGTACCTGCAGCGAGTTACAGCAGTTTGTCTGCTCAGCGTGCTTCTTTCAGTCGGGGAGCCTGTGTGTGTCCTAGGGCGGGGAAAGGGGGCACATGAACAGAGCTGTCATCGGTCCTGACTGTCCGGGACCTCAGACGCCAAATGTGGAGGTCTCAGTTGAACGAGGGCTCCGGACTTCTGTCCACAACACCTGCACGATGGATCTGAAACCCACGGGAGCTGGACAAGATCCCTCCTTGGTGAGGCAGGAAGGTAGGAACGCTGGGCTATCAGGTGGGCTGGGGAGCATGGGGACCCTCGTGGAACCGCACTGCCATGAGGAAGCGGCCCAGCCTTCCGCATTTTCAGGAGGTCCTGGTCACTCGGATTTTGTAGGGCGTCCGTGTGCCCTAACACTTGTCAGAAAAAGCTAGGCAATGAATGGATGAACAAAATGCGGCACACGCCACGGAGGGGAATATTATTCTGCCATAAACAAATAACGACTGCCTTGTGCTACAGCCTGGGTGGGTGAACCAAGAAGCCAGGCACCATACTACAGCCCATATGATTCTGTTTATACGAAGTGTCCAGAGTAGACAAATCTATGGTGACAGACAGCCGACTAATGGCTGCCCACGGCGGAGGGGAGCGGAGAACCAGGAGTGATAGCTGATGAGTTGGAGTTTTCTTTCCCAAGTGATAAAAATGTTCTAAAATTAGACAGCGGTGATGGTTGTCCTACTTTGTGAATGTACTAAAACCCACTGAATTGTACAATTTAAGAGGGTGAATTTTATGGTATGTGAATTATATCTCAATAAAGCTGTTATGAAAAATAAAAATAAAACTGTAAGTAGGAGGCATTTTTAAGAAGCATCGATATTTATTTCCATCAAAATATTCTGGAGTTCTCTAAGAGCTACAGATGATTGGTAGATTAGTCCAGTGAAAAGAATACAAAATTTGGGGTGTAATGACTTCAACTTGAACCCTAGCGAAACTACTTACTGGTTGCCTGATCTCGAGCAATTTAACTGTGCTGAATTCATTGATTGTATCTGTAAAATTATGAGAAATGAATGGGATCTGGTGGGGAAATTGTACATACATTTCATAAAGTATTCTACAAATGCTGGGTGTTGTGAGTCCTGGGTTAGAATAAGACACGGGGAACTCTGAGATTAATTTTGCACCCGGGAAAAGCTACACACAAATAGAGCCACTGTGCTTGGGACTCCTTCCACACCTGTGCCCTTTAGATGCTCCGAGGAAAATGTCTCAAGGTTTGATTTCTAATTTCCTTGTTTGGAAAGTCAGAATGTCGGGAAGAGAGGAGATGCAATGGTTAAGAACTGGTTTCAAGGTTAACGCTATTCCACCGGCTTGGTCAACACAGAGGCCGGGCTGTGTGCCTGGCACCGGGCGGTGACAAGTCAGGAATCGTGCCCACGGATCACCGTCCAGGGAGAAAACAGACTTTAGTCTGATGCTCTCACAAGGAAATGTAAATTCTCTGGAAGAGGAGGCTCAGGGAGAAGAGCACTTTCCCACATGATGGAGACATCCGTCCGAGGAGCTGCTTTGCTGAGAGGGTTAGGAGAGCCTGCCGGGGCAGGTGTGAGATCCATGCCAGGAGGGCATGGGGGCTCGGAAGTCCTGTCCTGGATGCTCAGGAGCTGCATTAGCCTGGTGGACTTGCTCCAATGTGCTGTTTCATCTCATCCAGTGGAGAGCGACAGTGTCAACCGCCTCAGGGGTCCGAGGAGCTGGGATACGGAAAGACTGTGCAGAGAGCCAGCCAGAGGCTTCAACCAGAGTTGAAGAACCGCCCTCAGAAGTGACAGTGATAACACAAATGGTGGTGCAGTGTAGACACAAGGCTCTAAGACCCTGCGCAGCCAAGGTAACAGTCCACACGGCAGCACCTGTGCGGATTCTTCGACAGGTAGCTGGGATCCAGGAGAGACATCACTCACTGCTCAGCTCCCTGGAAAAGAGTCGGGGGAAGTGTCCTGGGCCCTTTGTATGGCTCTCGTGGATCCTTCTGTGAATGGGTTAGTGGGGGTAGGGTTGAGGGGGGACTATGTAGGGTGATCTCCCACCCTGGTGAACTCTAGTCTACAGGGTTTCTCAGGAAACAAGGGGGCGCTAAACCCTGGGGCAGTCCTGGACAACAGCGAGTGGCTGGTCCCCATCCCGAGGTCTAAGTCCACTTCCTCTAAAGGCACCTGTCCTGGCCACGCCAAGACCACCGATCTCCATGACCCCAGTGTCCAGTCTGAGACCAGCTGGGGGCAGCCCTGGCATCAGGGAGCTTAGCATATGGTTTTTGGAATTAGGTTATGGAGTCCAAGGCCAATGTGAGATTTGGATTCAAAGTTCCCCTTGAGGTCTGGTGCTGTGGTGTGCTGGGTTAAGCCGCTACCTCCAATGCCTGCACCCCATAGGGGCATCAGTTCCAGTCCCGTCTGCTCCACTTCTGATCTAGCTCTCTGCTGATGAGCCTGGGAAAGCAGCAGAGGATGCACCCATGAGTGGGAGACTCAGAAGAAGCTCCTGGATCCTGGCTTTGGTCTGGTCCAGTCCTGGCCATTGCAGCCTTTTGGGGAGTGAACCAGTGGATGGGAGACCTCTCTCTCTCTCTCTGTGTCTTGCCGCCTGCCCTGCCTCATAACTCTGCCTTTCAAATAAATAAAATATATCTTCAAATCTCCCCTTGCCACAAAGACGAAAGGTGACACAGTACACCAAGCACTCAGCATGATGCCTGGCACGTGGTCCCTATTTTTCAGACTCTCAGGGTAACTGACGGCCGGCACCTCTGTTCTTACCGCACACCCAGGTGGGGAGTGTCTCGGGTACGAATTTCTCTTCCCAGGAACCCGAAGCTGGTACCCAGCGTTAAGCTACTATTTTGTGCTGAGAAACTTTTGTGAAGATGATAAACCTCCTGTCTCTGGCAGTTTGGGATTTGAACACTTCTCTGCTTCTCTGTTTAACATCTGTATTGGAAGCATATATTACAAAAACTTCTTCTGGTAGGTTGTGAGCGCGGTCCCAAGGAAATTAGTATTAAACATCGTGATCTTCCTTCCAAGATACAAGGGTTGGGCAAGTTCCATCCAGCCAGAGGCATGTTCCCATAGGGAAAGGGGAAAAAAAGCATGCTGTAATACAATATTAAAAATGTTGCTCAGCTGAGCTTTCCACATTAGGGCTTGTGCAGAGTTTTCAGCTTTTCACCTGTTGGTGTTAAAAGAGAGGGAGAGGGAGAGAGAGATGAGGGGGTGCGGTGGGGGAGACAGGGAGGGAGAGGAAAGGCTTATGCGAGCAGGGAAATCGCAAGCCAAGAGGAGGGGGAAAATTTAAATGACCCCAGACCGAACTGTTTTGCTGTTAATACAGAAATACAGTGCTAGACACATTTAATGGGTCTATTTTTTATTATACTATGCTGAATAATTAAGTTTGAGGCTAAGTGTCACATGGATTTATCTTTTAATTAAAAAAGCATGGTTCACGCATATTTGAGTGGTAGTCCAAATAAATGCAATATAGAAATTTATGTTTGTTTATCTAGGTGTTAATTACCTAGAGATTGTTCTGGATTACTTCTTTTTATAAAGTGTCATAGGCTCATGTCAGGACAAATAAAGCTTGCCCATGGAACCTTATCAATTTGCTAAGGATAGAGCCCGTCTGACCTGGGGGGAGGGGGTGGGGCAACTTTGGGGACTGTTCCGTATCCACACGCCCCCATGCAACCCACGCCCAATAAAACAGTCGTTTTAGAAAATATTCCTAGGACATAAAGGCACAAATATATCTTCGTTGTTTTACAGCCTCTTGTCCACAGCTATTTATAAAACATGTGATTATTTATGCATCGGGTTATGAGAAGTTTGCTGGGAGAGGCGATGAAGGCGGCGCCATCAATCCAGGTACCTGGTACCCGGGAGAGGCGGAGGGAGGCCCCATTTCCCAGCGGCAAGCAGGCCGGACAGGAAGTTGGCGGCTGCGATTTGTCTCGAACCTGTCACCCTGGCTGCAGCTCCCAGAGAGCCAGGCAGCGGGGGAGAGAGAGAGCGAGCGAGCCAGGGCCAGAGTCAGGGGTCACGTTCTTCCAAAGCGAGGATGCACTTTGCGAAAGGGACAGGAGAAGCGCACAAGCATTGGCCCTCAGGTGGTCTGTTCCTTTGTTTACAAAGTGACTTTTGGAAGCAGCTTCAGGCAGGTCAGATGGCTTGGAAGAAAACAGCAGCTTCGGTCAAAAGGCTCAGCTTCCAAGAGAAGAGATTTTTGCAAAGGCAGCCAGGGACCCCGGAGGTGGCTGCGTCCTCGCCTTTCCCGCATTGCTGTGCTGCTGTCTAGGGCGCACCACGCCTCCATCGTTGGCTGTCGAACACCAGAAAATCTGTGAGAGCCACTGCGGGGCTTCGGGGGCGCCGCCCAGCTCCGTGGTCGTGCGGGTTGCTTCCCGCAGCCACGGAGCCCAGCCCGCGGCGGACGCGCCCTGCCGGGTAGGGTTTCGGTTTCACTTTTTGTCTCCTTCCTCCCGGAGCCCCAGCGGACCGCCGGGGCGCGCCACTGTCAGCTCGGTGACCCGGCGCTTGGCAGCGCGCCTGGAGAGCTGGGCCCGGGCCGCGCAGTGAGCGGGGCGCGGCGCCAGGCGGGGGCGCCCGGGGCCTGCGTGTCGCCGCGGGCGGGGGGCGGCTCTGAGGGCTCCAAGCCCAACAGCGCCTTGACCCCCCACCCCAAGGATGCGCTCGCCCCCTGATCCAAGAATGAGCCGGAGCCCCCGCTGTTCCCAGGACTCGCCTAGTGGCCAGGGAAGGGACAGATGCGCCCCAATGGGGCTCCCTGGCGCCGGTTCTGCGCCGCTCCTGCTCTTGGCTGCGTGAACAGGGGCACCCAATTCTATTTCCCTCCCAAGCCCCTGCCCCTTGCCTCCCCAAGATCACGGCTGTGATCAGAAATTGCACCCCAGCTGGACCAGGGGAGGGGTGGGCCAGGCACTGTGCCAGCTGCTGGGGCCTTCGGCATCCGCTGCCATCCCCACCATCACCGCAGGACCCAGCCAACAAGGTGAGGCTTCCTGGGAGCGAGCAGGGCTGCAGGGCTGGGCAGGGGCCTTGGGAGTCCCCTCTTTGGCCAGGGCCCTGTGGGAGTGGGAGGGACGGTGAGGGGCTGCGCACCAGTCTGGAGCTGAGAAATGGAGAATGAGGTTTTCCTGGGGCTGCAGGAAGGGACCCTGAGGTCCCTGAGATCCGGAGGAGCCGGCGCCCTAGGAGACCAGTTCTGTTTTGAAATTCCATTAGGCAACAGCCTAATGATGGGCCACTGATCACTGCAGGTTCCTACACATCATTCTTGCCCCTGAACTGCACCCTCCTCCTCGGCCCTGCCCTGGCGGCGCCAGTCTGCTTCCTGTGTTCAGATTCCCCTGTGCTGGATGCCTCACGGAGATGGACTCTGATCGCCGGTGCCTTCTGTGTCTGGCGTGTTTCACTTAGCCCGTGTTTCCCAGGTTTGCTGCTGTAGGTGGCATCTGTCAGGATGCCCTGCCTGATCTCCAAGGCCCAGCCAGTCTCTCCAACTTCATCTTTCACTCTCCTCCCTCACTTATCTGTCTCTGGTCAAAATGGCTGTTTTAATGGGTTCCTGCCCCAGGGCCTTTGCACATGCCATGTTTGGAGCCCTCCCTTATTTAGCTTTCAACTGAAATGTTCCTCCCTGACACCCGCTGCCCCACGGATGCATGTGTGCCTGGCTCCTGTGTCACACCGCAGCCTGTCACTTGCTTTCTGTCTTCCTTGTAGCAGTAATCACTCTGAAAATCTCTTATCTATCCCTTTGTTTACATGCTTGTGGTCTGTTTCCCTTACCAGAGCGTAAATTCCTAAATTCCGTGCCTTTCAGACCTCTGCTACAAACAGCGCCTGGTACAGTATTGCATCTCGAGAACTATTCATTGGGTGGCTACAGATTCCCAGCCCAGCTGTCTTTGATGCTAATCACTGGAGTAATCGTGGAAATGTGAGCTTTTACAAAAGAAGTTTCGCCAACGGTCTCCAGCGAAGGGGCTGTGGAAGCCAGCGGGATGTTGGTTCCATCGCAGACCTAGTAGCGTGCTTGAGAGCTTGGGGGTGACCCTGCTCGCTGTGCATGTGGCTGTGTGTCTCTGTGGCTGAGGAGGGCCCATGGGGTCATGGGAGAACAGCTCCCAGCACAGGAGCTCAGAGCTGCCTGGTGCATAGCTCTGGGCAGGAGACCGGGATCTGCCTTCCTTGTCACAGATCTGCCGGGCAGGCTCCTCTGTGGTCTCAGAGCTTCGGCTTCCTCATCTGTGAACGAGCCTGAGGCACAGACTCACTGCGGTGGCTCGAGAGATCCTGGGCAAGTGTTTTGCAAATGGTGATGCTCCCTGCACTGGTTATTCCTGCCAGCATCAGTATCCAAAACCGGGTGCCCTGCCCGTGCCGGGGTGTGGGCAGGGAAGACGGAGCCCCAGCAGCCACGGCCATGGCCACCCCGGCTCCCTCCCCCGCCCCAGTGACCCCAGCCACAATCGTGCCCGTGACCCTTGGGTCAACACCTCCTCTTAATGCCTTTCCATTTCTCAGTTTGCTGACTGGGGTGATTTTCGGTGAGGTCCACATAAATACTTCAAAAATAATTCACGATGAAGAGGAACGCTTCTGGAATGGATGATGGCACGACGAATTAAACGCTTTAGAGGGCCGGACGTAAATTATTTTAATGCATGTAATAGATCCGCCCAGTGAGAGTGGAGCCCCTGCAGGTCAGGCCTCTGTGCCCCTGGGGCCTGGGGGTGGTGGGAGCAGGTGGCTGGGAGCCGGCTCTGCTGGGGCGTGAATCATTTCCCTCACCGAAGACCCATTCTCCTAGCACTTAGGTTCTCCTACCCTGAGCGAGCGGTGGGAAACGTGTCTGCTTCTAGCCAGGCGGGAGCAGGAGCCAGGAGCCAGATGAGGCTACGTGAAAGCGTCTCTCTGCATTGGCAGCGACAGAGGCCTGACCTGTCCACCTGCCACCCTGCCTTCCATTCATCCTCTGCACCTCTCCAGGGACAGCGAGGGGTGCTGCTGTGTGGCCACAGGCTGTTAACATGTCATGTGTCCCTTGGAAATTAACAGCAGAGTCTCCCCATTGACACTCACTGCCTGCTAGTGCAGGAAGGGTTCGTTGTGTGCAACATACCCATTCAACAGAAGGGAAAGCTGAGGACTCAGCACTCCCCAGGCATGGCAAGGAAACACACTTGTTCTCGGGCTATCTCCGCTGTATTTACGAGCGCTATCTAAAGACTGCTGTGGCTTTGTACAAGGAGACCCGTAATTCCAGAAGGAAGAATTCATTGATTCCAGAATGTGCTTCTCTGACCCCTTATGGTCAGGGAATGCACAGTACCAGTGTGTTACGGTTGTCTCGCAGCTGGAGAGAATCATTCACTAATGGTCCCGGTGTCTTTCCCAGGCAGTGGCCACAGCAGCGCATGGGCCCTGCTCACAGCAAACTCACGGCTGCTCGATGCTCTTGGGAGGAATGGAAATCAAGAGCTATAGTCGCACGTGCAGTGCAGTCTTTGAGTCCGTCTCCCGCCAGACAGCGCCTCGGTGGCCTGTCCATCTGCATCCGAAATCCCACCCCGGCGATTCAGCCGTGCATGGCGGACTTGATGTGATGGAGCGTAAGAGCAGGGGGAATGGAACATGAGCTGGGAGAGAGTTGTGGGAGGAAGCGATGGGCCTTGAATGAATGAGATTTGGATGTGAGGGGCTGAGAAAGAGTGTGAGAAGGTTCCAGCAGGAAGGGGCTGGGTGCTCCCAAGATCCTCGGGGAGCTCTGCCCTGACAAGTGGACGGGGGAGCGTGGAGCCCAGAGACCAGTGTGTGGGCTGTGTATGTCCCTCCCGAGTGTGTGGATGGACAGCCTGACCTTTCATGGGATGGTGTTACGAGGCCGGCTTCATGAGTGGGATTAGTGCCCAGACCGACCCCACAGAGTTCTCGCGCCCTGTTTTCTACCATGGGAATGCAGGTGGAGAAGGTGCGCACGGGTGGGCCGGGAAGCAGGTGCTCCCCAGGCACCATCTGAGCTGGTCCCTTGATCGGAGGCGTCTCCAGAACTATGAGAAGCAAACTTCTGTGACTGACATGGGGATGAAGGAACAAAGCTCTTGCAGGTAGGTACACGTAGGATGGCCTCCGTGTGTGTGTGTGTGTGTGTGTGTGTGTGTATGGAAAAATGTTTTCAGGGGCCAGTGTTGTGGTGCAATGGGTTAAGCTGCTGTCTGCAGCGCTGGCATCCCCTGTGGGTGCCGCTTTGAGTCCTGGCTGCTCCAGTTCCCATCCAGCTTCCTGCTCATGTGCCCAGGAAACTGCGGAGGATGACCCCAAGCTCTTGGGCCTCTGCATCCATGTGGGGGAGCTGGAAGGAACTCCCAGCTCCTGGCTTTAGCTTACCCCAACCCCAGTCATTGTGGCTATTTAGGAAGTGAGGAGTGAACCACCCCCCTTCTCTCTCTCTCTCTCTCTCTCTCTCTCTCTGTAATTCTGACTTTGAAGCAAGGAAATAAATTTTTTCAAGACATTTTCATCGACATGTAGATCAGGGTGGGCCTGACTATTACTGAAAGAAGTTAGGCTAGCTGGTGGGGCAACGGCCCATGCTATAGCCCAGGAGGACTCGCGATGAAGACGAGATTTGTAACCCTCAGAGGGGATCTCAGGAAGTGGTGATGACTACTCTGTCAGTGTTTGCAAATTGGGTGTCATTTCCTCCATTAGGCTGCCTACCGACCCTGGGTCCATTCGTTGTCTCCTCTTTGTGGTCCCAGAACACATCGTTCTGGATGAGAGCGGAACTCACTGTAGCGTGCCGTGGAGGGCTGCACCTGTCCCCGCTGAGGCTGAACCCTGGCCACAGCCCTGTCCCTGTTGTCGCGGCAGGCCCCCAAGCTGTCCCAGTCCATCCTTTAAGATTAGCAACCACTGACCGAAGGAGTCCACTGAATTGAAGGAGGGGCTCCAGCTGGCCCTTCAAGGCTCTAATTCCGGACTCAAGGAGCCATTTGCTTCTATAACAGTTAAAACCTTGATGGCCGATATTGCCCTCCTAGGGAGTGGTGGCTGTTTAGGGGAAGGCCAGATCTGGGGCAAAATTCAACTACCACCTGCATGTAACCCCCCAGGGTGGCTGACACCCACCTGACCATCATAAACCTTCCTTGAAGAGCACAGCATCGCCGACCAATGAAAGGAAGGCAATGAGTATCACTGACCAATCAAAGGAAGGCGGCAGGCATCACTGGCCAACTAGGGAATCGGACACAAGCTGAGCATGCACCTCTCAACCCTAACTCTAGTTCCTAAAATCCTTTATGCTTAACCCCCTGGGGAGCCCGAGAATGAAGCCATAGCTGCCCAGCTCCTTGCTCTTCACTTTGCAAATAGACACCTCCTTTCTTCCACCATGCCGATGCCAGTGATGGGCTTTCTGCAAGGTGGTGGAGAGGACTCAGGCTGGGGGCTCCTCCAGCTAGTTTGGGAAGTTGTTCTGCAATACCACTTAGACTGGAATGGGTCTTTTGGGGGTGGTGGCTGTGACTGGTTTATTGCTGGATCCGTGGTGATCCTGATGGGAGCCTCCTGTATGCTTCACGGTTCTGCATTTATAAATGAGCCCACATAAGAGGTACAGGAGTACACATAAGGTCAGGCAGAAAGTCCAGACTTCCTGAGATTTCATTTTAACAGGATCACACCATCTTCCATGAGCTTCCTGGGGAAAAAAAATCATTGACACTATAGTTGGCTTTTAGCTGGTTAGCTTGTTCAGGGCCAGAATAGTGTATCTTCATAGTGCCTGGTGCTAGGGCGCCTGCAGTGTCTGCAGAAGGAAACACCACGGGGCCATGGTGGGTGCCTGTTGTTTTGCCCCAAGTCCCATCAGCTCACCTCCGAATGCCTCCGCAGCTGTCGTGAACAGTTCCCGGTGCAGACGGTGCTTCCTGCATGAAGAACCATAGGGGCTTGCTCAGCTGCTTGCAAGAAAGCTGAACATGCCAGGGATGTAAGCCTCTGGGGCAACCCCCAGCCGAAGAGGAACGGGACTCGGTGGCCGAATCCCTAGGGACTGCCTTTTTCCTGGGTCCTCAGACAGCCTCCGCAGGATTGAACCCCAGCTGCCCTCGCCGATCACGTCCCCAGGAATACACCCGGGATTGCATTCCTCCGTTCCCCATCTCACATCCCCACTCCTGTTTCTGAGATCAGCTCCTGCACCCCATCCTTGTCTCATAAGGTTCTACTTCTTGGGGAACTCAAGCTAAGACAGGAGCTAGATAAATATCTGAGCAGGGGTTGAGTGAAGAATGAGTGAGATGGCAGAGAAGCGAGGGGACTGTGAAAGCAGACTGCACATTTCACCCTCTTCCTTGGGCTGAAGAATCTGACACCCAACATTGCAGGGGGGCTGTGGGGCTTCTTGCCCCAGGGTAGACCAAGCCAGTGGGGACTGTGCCTCAGAGGATGGTTCTCAGCAGGACCATGGGGGACCAGAATACAGTAGAGTAGTGTGTGTGTGAGAGGTGCAGTCAGAGCTGCAGAGGGCTCCCGTGCTCACCTTCCCGGGCTGTTCACCGCACACGGCACTTGCTACCTGGCTGTCAAGGACGCTGCAGCGGTTGATGAAGTGAGGGGTCACCCCAGAGAGGGGAAAACAATGGTAATCTGGGCTCTGAAGCAGGCCCTATAAAAATAACCACAAAACCCAGAGAACTGAGGTGGGAGCGGAGGATGCAGAGGAGCCAGGGCTGAATGAGGAGAGGATTTGGCACCTCGTCCAGATGGCTCCTTCCCACCACCCCGCCATTTTGATACGGGCATAGGAATGAGTCGTGTACCTGAGGGCGGGAACAGAAGGTTCCACCAGAGATTGGACAGAGAAAGGCAGACTGCTGAACACTTGCGACAACCAGCCTGCTCCCCGCGCCGGCTGCGAGCAATGCTCGGAATAGACCTGCGCCTGGACGGCGGGCGGCGGCTCTCACCCCGCTCTCCGGAACCTCCTCCGCTCGGCCGCCGGCTCGCTGGGCAAGGGCTCCGAGTGTGTCTGAGTCCTCAGGCTGCTGTAACAAAGTCCCACAAACTGGCTGGTTTGTCAACAATTGACATTAATTTCTCACCCTTCTGGAGGCTGCAGAAGTCAAGGTCAAGGTCAAAAGGTCAAGGTGCAGGTGGATTCCGAGCCTGGGGATGTCCGCTTCCTGAATCACACACTGCCGTCTTATCATTGCGTCTTCATAATGTGGAAGGGGAAGGGGCAATTGTGAGAGTCTCTTTGGTAAGAGATCTACTCACCCGTGGGACTTAATCACTTCCCCAAAGCCTCACCTCCAAGCACCATCCCATTGGGAAGTAGGCATCCACATATGGATTTGAAAGGATATGAGCATTCAGTCTACAGTGGAGTGTCCTAGCCTGTACCTCCTCCCTTATGTGAAAAGCAATCGCTTTTTTAAAAAAATGATTTATTTATGTATTTATTTGAAAGGCAGAGTTACAGGGAGAGAGGGAGAGGCACACAGAGAGAGATCGATCTTCCACCCCCAAATGGCCACAGTGGCCAGGGCTGAACTAGGATTCAGGGGCTTCATCTGGCTCTCCCAAGTGGATTCAGGGGCCCAAGCACTTGGGTATCCTGGCTGCTCCACTTTGGATCCAGGTCCCTGCTAATGCTCCTGGGAAAACAGAGAAAGATGACCCAAATGCTTGAGCCCACGCCACCCATGTGGGAGACCTGGAAGAAGCTCTTGGTTCCTGGCTTTGATTTGGCCCAGACCTGGCTGTTGTGGCCATCTGGGGAGTGAACCAGCAGATGGAAGACCTCTCTCTCTCTCTTTCTCTCTCTCTCTCTCTTTGCCTCTTCCTCACTCTCTCTGTAACTCTGACATGCAAATAAATAAACATATCCTTTAAACTAAAAGAAGGTGGAGACATAAATCCATATTTTTAAGAAAGCCCTTCTCAGAACCCACGAATGGCCCTTAGTGATTTTGCTGTGATTTTCCCTGGCCTGGGACCTCAACCTTGGCTTACCACCCTCCACACAAGGGCATGCGGCCATGGGGGCAGCAGGGACTCCTGCTGCTCTCACCATCAGTGCCTCCTCCTCCTGGGTAGGATTTAGGAACTGTCTTCCCCAGCGTGGCTGTGTGAGTGCAGCGTGCCAGACACCCGTGAGTGCCCTGCGGCCGTGGCCGCTGGTCCCGTCTGCCCAGGGTGGGACTCCTTTGCTCCTTCGTCTTTTAGAAATCCAATTTTACAAGCTGTTGGTCTTCAGTGTGGACGGCTGCATTTTATTAATTTAGAAAAAAATGCATTGTTTTTAATGACCCTGGAGCCCCGTTCTGGCTGCGCCCACAGCTGCAGCCTGCACAAAGGGTCTTCTTGCTGTGAGCAGGGTGTGAGCCACCACCCGTGGGCAACGTGCCACTGCAGGGCTGTGGCTGTCCAAGGTCGTGGTGCTGTCAGGGGCTGCCAGTGTGAGAAGTGACGTGGCACTGGTGTCCCTGGAGAGGAGCCCACTGGGCAATCCGGGGGGGTTCTCAGTGACCCCAAACCACTCCTACTTTGCTGCACAGAACTGGCCAGTGCTATGCAAGGCCCGCGACCAAGCCTGAGCAGGAAACACACTCTATGTGCCTTCTCCCTCCTTTTCACAAACAAGGTGGCTGTCAGCAGGGGATGGTGTGTGGGGTCCTGGTGGGTGGTCTCAGGCCTGCTGTAGGGGTCATGTCTCATGGCCTGAGACACAACATGGCAACTCAACCCTTTTGCAGGTGCTCCTCCCCCCTCCCCCAGCAGCTTCCTCTGGCTGACTTCCTTTGTTTCGTCACTGTCTGTAAGGGCAGTGTCCTCACTGTAACCTCCCCAGGAAGTTGGTTTCTTGTCTGCACTGTTCCCTCCTGGCAGCCCTTCGGGATTTAGTGGTGAACCTTCCCTTCTCCTCTCGGAGTCATCGGGGGTCTTCACAGCTCGGAGCCCTCCTGTGGCCCATGATCCACCCAGTGTGGCTGGCTCAGCCCCTGGCAGAAGGGCTTGGCTCAAACCTGGCCTCTGTGCACTGAAAACACCCCAGGAGACACACTTGCCCAGGGGACAAGGGATCAGGAAGTGCTGGCTGGGGATAGACTGGACCCTGGGGTCTGTATTGCGGGGTGAACTGGGAGCTCCTGCAGGGTTTGGGGGGTCATGAAGGGCAGGAGGGTGGTGCTGCAAGCAACATGGAGGCAGAGCTTGCTCGAAGGTCCTACCTTGCAAGTGTTGGCTCCCTAATAAGAATCCAGAGCTGTAGACCTGGTGGCTGGGGCACTAGCTCCTACCTGCTAGCCAGCAGTCCAGTTAGTAAACCCTTCGACTGCTAAATCAGGTCATTATTTAACTGATGGCTGCTTTCTCTGCCAAGGCCCTTCACCCCTAGCCATGGCCTTGTGTGCACCTTCAACTCGTGGTGTTATTTTTGCTTTCGAGGTTGACTGGGTTCAAGACCGCATTGTGGTTCTAATGGCCCCTGCTGAAGATGCTGTCATTACCCAGATGATGGAATTTCAAAGGGAGCTGACGGTGGCGATGGGTTCCATTGCTTCTCTGTGTTAGGCAGTGGGCAGGGTGTGTGTGAGAGCAGACTTCTTTCCTCTTCCCTTTCTCCTGCTGGGTTCCCTTCCCTCCCAGGCAGCAGTCTGGATCAGGCTGCTCTGCTCACCTCCCTGGGGCCAGGGTGATCCAGACTTAAATCTACCTGGGATCCCTAGGACCTTGGCAGGTCTTCTTGGAAGTGGGGTGACTGCGATCTCTGCAGTTGGCTCTGGGGAGCCGTGCATTGGTGTGGCCAGCACAATGCCCCAGCACCCGTGTATGCTGTCATTATGGATGGTAGTTGCGCACGCTAGTGTGTGTGTGTGTGTGTGTGTATGTGTGTGTATGTGTGTGTGTGCTGGGAGCAGAGATTATGCATGGACGTGGCCTTTCAGTTCACTGCAGTATTCCCCTAAAGTAGATCATTATTCCGTATGGAATAAATAGTGTTATTGGGCTGATATGCTTAAGGCTAATGAGCCCATGTCTAGCATCTGAGAAGCCAGATAACAAGACATGTTTTTCTCCATTGGCTTCTATTGATGTATTAATTAATGAAATCCAAGATTCCCCTTTGAGCTGCAGGAGTGTTTAAATCATTCCTGAGCTGTACATCATGCCCTCGCCCCCTCCTGCCCTCAGATGCTGTGAAGGACTTGGGGGAGGGCAGCCGGGTCTTCAGGCCTCTGGTCTGGCCCAGGTGGGAGCAGGAGCAGGTACAGCCAAGAAGCCACAGCCAGACACCCCAAGGGCCATCTGCGTCCCAGCCCTATGCCACATCACAGCCTGCAGAGGCCTGCAGCTCTTCCTTCCTCGTTGGCTATGGGCAACCTGCCCCAGGGAAGCCTGGCAGGCCACAGGTCCAGGTCTGCATTGGAGATGCTTCTGCTGACCCCACCTCCTTTGGGAGCCAGTGCAGCTCATGGTGTTTCTATTGACTGTCTAAAGTGAAGGAGGCTGTGGACGTCCCAGACAAGGAGGTAATGCTTATTTTGTTGGTTCACTGGTCTTGGGTCACCATTTCCTTCTGCAAGTAGCAGTGTGTTCAAAGTTGGTGTTGGTGTTAACCAAGCTGGGATTCTGGGCCTGACTCCAGCATCTGTCAGCTGTGTAAAGGCAGTCACGCTGTTGCAATTGTTTAGGCCTCCTCTTCCTCGTCTGTGGAATGCGGATAGTGGCAGTAGGTACCCCACAGGGCAGCTGGGAGGGCTGAGAACGAGGGTGTGTGATGCCATCCCAGGAACAGGTCTGCCCAGAGCAGATGCCTGGGGATGCGGGGATGGTTACAATTTGTAACAATGACAACACCTCTTATTGAATGTGGAATGGGGAGAAGTCACGGTGGCGAAGAACATTTCTCACAAAGACGAAATTGCATTCTTTTTCTTTTCTTTTTTTAAAGGTTTATGTGTTTGAAAGAGTTACAGAGAAAGAGGAAGAGACACAGAAAGAGGGAGGGGGATGAAAGAGAGAGCGAAAGAGAGAGAGTGCTTCCATCCCCTGGTTCACTCCCCAAATGGCCGCAACCGTGAGGGCTGGGCCAGGCTGAAGCCAGGAGCCAGGAGCTTCTTCCAGGTCTCCCATGTGGGTGGCAAAGACCCTGGTACCTGGGCCATCCTCTGCTGATTTCCCGGGCACATTAGCAGGGAGCTGGATGGGAAGTGGAGCAACCAGGACTCAAACTGGTACCCATATGGGATTCAGGTGTTGCACGTGACAGCTTAACTTGCTATGTGACAACTCTGGCCCCTGCATTGTTTTTATACCTTGTAGTAACTTTAGCCTTTACAGCACACCATCAAGAATGTATCTTTCAGAGGCCTGTTTCAGTATTTTAAATCAGGCGATACCAGCTGTTAGCACTTTCTTTTCCATGAACAGTTGATGCAAGTGCCTTACAGGTCTCTGGACAACCTTGCTGCAACCATGAACTTGTGCATAAGTAACCATGATACGCCAAGTACCCCAGAGGTGCCCATGTGTCTCCTAATTCATACCTTGTACCCCATACCCCTTGTCCCCTCATACCCCATGACCTTGTATCTTATATCCCATAGGTGACCATGTACCCCACATCCCATAGGTGACCTTGTACCCTACATCCTATAGGTGACCATGTACCCCACATGTATGTCAGCCAGCAAAATTTCCAAGACAAACATTGTTGCCATGGACCTCACAAGGTCCTTTCGGGACTACCCTGGCTGTGCCCTGGAGTCTGGTGAAGCAGGGTTTCTGGGGACATGGTGAGGTGTCATTCCACTGCAGGTGTGACCCCTAACAGCCTGGGATAGGGAGCAGGCCCTGGCCCTTCCTGACACCCTTACTGGTGCTGGACAGTGGACCCCCACCCCCCGGGCCTTGGTCCCCACCCCTTGCATATACTGCCAGAACCCCATGGTGCTTAGTGCTTGCCAGCGCCCACAGCCGCGGCCCTGAAGCCTGCTTTTTCTTGTGCGTTTTGTAGCCATATACCTACCTAATGTTGTGCAACTCTGAGTCTACTCTATTTAGAATCAATAACCACTTAGAATTAAAATCCGAGCCGAACTATAAACCATAAAAGAGCTCCTGATTATTTCATTAGTAATTTGCTAATTGGCATTAGATATTTAATTACACATTCCAAATATTTGATGAATTATTTCAGCTCTGCAGAGAAAGCCTGTGACGGGGACTTTATTCCCGGGAAGCAGACAGCCCAGAGGGAGAGCCTGCAGGAAGGGCAAGTGTCTTGCACAACCTGCAAGAGGAACCCACCCGGACAGCCACGAAGTCCCGCGGGGCAGCCAGTGGCCAGAGCCGGGGCCTCTCCTGCGCCCGCGGGGTGCATGGCAGCACTGGCCGCCCACTCTCTCTTTCCTGCTTTGATCTGCTTCCCGTAGCAGAAGGTGATGCCCCTCCCCTCTTCTTATGGGCTGTTTCTTGACATGGATAAAAGGAGTCATCTCTCCCTCTCGCCCTGTCCCCTGTCCACCCAATTCATCTCGCAGCAGGCCCTGTCTGCATCGGACACCAGATGGCCCCCACAACCTTCTTAGAATGGATTTGCATCAGATAACACGCCGTCTCTGGCTCCCTCCCTGAAGGTGTGGGAGCTGCTTCTCTGGAAAGAAAGAAAAAAATGGTAATTTCAGTACCAGAAAAAAAAATTGCACAAATGTTCATTTCTGTTTCCTCTGGGATCCTTCTGATGATAAGTGGGCCCTGAATTTGGGCAGCCTCCAAAATGTGTTGGGTTCCTCCACGATGCTTGGGGCCCTGGTCTCCCCAGCACCCACCTCCAGGGCCAAAGTCTCCTTGGGACAGTTTCACCAAATCGTGGCAAGATGTGGCTGCACACTGGGTTTTTGTCCTGTATCTGCCGGGGGGCTTTGCACACACCAGCTGGCCCCTCTATGGCGCAGGTGGATTGCGGGCTGGGCTGGACTTCAAACACAGATCAGCACAGCCGCTTACATGGCTGAGGCCAAGCACAGAGGGACATGTATCTCTCACGGATTCTCACCTTGAATCCTCTGCTTTTCTCAAAACAGATTGTGATGGGGCCATACGTGGACCTTCCAATGGCCGCTTCGGAGAAACCTGGGGAGGATTAGAAGAGAGAGCCACATCCCAGCCACACACCTGCAATACAAATCAGAAGGAAGAAGTTAGTTCTTAAACGGCCAGCCGTGCCCAGTGCTGTGCATGCCTCTGGAGGGAGGGCAAGTGCATGCCCACCGCCTCCTCGTGCCATGTTTCTCCGATGTAGGCAGGGACATGGTCTGGAGCAGGACCCAGAAGAACACAGACACCTTTGTTTCCTCACACACTCGCTCCAGAGGGCTTGCAGCCATTCGGGAGGTGTCAGTGCAAGAGGGCCCCCTTGCAGCTGGGAGGCCAGGGACTCCTCTTCTGAGCTGTCCACAAACAGCACCCTGGGAAGGAAGCGGGGAAAGTGAAGAGAACCCGAGACCTGGCCGCGCACCCCAGCGGCACTCCTAAATGGATTCTGAGACCATTGCTGACCCATAAGATGCAGACAGCGCCCCCCATTGATAGATGGGGGAAGCCCTTGAACAGCCACAGCACCAAACCCCTAGAAGGGCAGGGATGACAGGAGGAGGCTGAGGACGGCCCCCTGCTCCTTGTCTGCCTCAGAGCTTTGAAATGCGACTGTGTTTGAAGCGGCCTGGATAACTAGATGCAGCAGCATTTAGGAGAGGCTGCCTCAAATCCCTTTGGTAATAGGATGAGTATAAGATAAAAACGAATCAAGTAATGTTTCCCATCAAAATCGAGCTGCATTGGCCAGCACCCTGTGAAACAGTGATGCTTCCACAAGCAGGAAGACTGTCCCATCCCTCAGCCCCCAGGTACCTGTCCCGGATGAGGAGGTGCAGCTTTACAGATGGGGGGCCTTTGGGGATGCTCCCCACTGGGCTCAGACCTGCAGGCCCTGGCCTCATTCCTGTCCTGGCCTCCATCCACGCCATAGCCCCAGTCCCCTGTCCCCAGCCCCCAGCCCCCAGCAGCCGTTCTTTGGCCCCGCCCACCCTTCTTTCTGGGCAGTTCTTCCATCTTCATCACTCCCCTCCCCAGACCCTTGGAAGAATCATCTCTTCCCAGAATCAAGGACCTGTGCTGAACAGTTTAAAAGACAATCCTGTGGTTTAACTAGGAACCTAGAAGGGGGTGGAGAAAGCTCTCGATCATCCAGTGAGTCTCAGTCTCAAAGGGTGACAGGGCTGATGAGCTGGCAAAACTCACGCCGTTTGTCAGCCTGGCTTCCTTCTCCATCGTCTCTTTGTGGTGGTTTAAGACTTGTAGCTGCGTCTCCTGCAGGAAACCTTTGTGGGTCCTTCGTGATGCTCTGTCCCTTGCCCGCCCCTGGGAAATGTCAGCTGTGTACTGTGCAGGCCCCTTCCTCCTGGAAGACTGACCAGTCCTGGCCAGCATGGCTGAGCTGGCCACTTCTGCGTGTGCCCCACACTGGAAGGCCTATTTTGCTTTTGAGCAGGAAGATGAAATGAACTGCAGGCATAGTTTTTGAGAGCAAGGGCAGGGAGAGCCCCTTGGGTGTGGGGACGTCACTGACTGTATGGTGAGGCTGACCCCACATGCGTGTCCAACCTCAGAGCTTTTGCCCTTGAACTTGGAAAGAATGTGGGGAAGAACATCAGGGAGAGAGGCTGGGGCGAGGAGAAAAAAGCCCTCAGGTCCTGAACTCAGGGCATTTGGACAAGAAAATGGGATGAAGGGTGGCTGGTGAGACTGGAGGCCTGGCAAGAGCGACCACTCCAGGCCATGTGCCACCCCAGAGATTGCCCACGTGTATGTCTTTCCCTGAACAGTGCAGTGCGTGCCTACCTTGGGGACCCTGAGGTTGGGTGTGGTGGGAGAGGAGACTTCGGGACTCCCTGTCCTTCCTGTCACACATGCCCACAGGCTCCACTGCCGTCACCTGGCTCTAGATCACCCCATGTCAGCGCTGCCTACTGCACCCAGCTTCAGGCATATATGCAAGATCCCTGGGCCTGGGGAAAGGAAGTGTGGACCATGTTTCCAGGTCCTGAAATCTAGTGTTGGCGCCAACACCTGCTCCCTGCCCCCAACATGTACATCCCAAAGTCATGTGCAAGGTGGAAGGCTAGGGTGTGGCCTGGCCATGCAGACCCCTTCCCCCGCCTTCTCCCTCCCACATGCAGGTCTGAGCACTGCTGGTCCCTGCCCACATGGAACCTACAGCCTAGAGGGAGAGTCCCACTCCCGCCTCCGAGACAAGGCGTGAGGGAGGAGAGAAGAGGCCCCAAGCAGACAGATAATGGGGTGTCTGGAGTCACCTGACCCCATTTTGGGGACATCAGAGAAAGCCTTACTAAGCGCTGTTTTGATATCTAGAGGAGAAAAAAGGTTTTAAGGCATAATTGGCTGAAGCCCTTTGTGCCTTCTAAGGATGTGTATTTGCAGGTGGAAAGTGGCACGGTTCACATCTGTGAGGACATCTGTCGCTTGTCGTGGGGCCGGGGTGCCGGCCTGGGCAGGGCACAGCACGCGAACGGCTCCTTTGCATGAGGAAGGAGGGCTGTGGGGCCTGGCATGGGGTCTGGGATGGGAGGGAGAGGGGCTAACACATGGGCGAACAAAGGCATGCATTACTTTATTTGAGCTGCTGGAGAGAGATGTCCTGGTCATGGGAGACAAAGTGAAGTCCAAGTTCATGGGGCAGACGAGAGAGAAACCTACTGGGAAGTTTTAGTGATGAGATGCCGGGATGCGCCCTCAAAGCTCCTCCCATTAAGGCAGGACCAGAAAGGCTTTGGCTGATGGTTGAAGCCTGATGAAAATAAAGACACCAGAAACTCCTGGATTTGGCCAGTGCCGGAAGTTGGAGTTGGAGGCCCTGGGACGCTCGGGGAAGCGTTTGGACTCACCCCAGGTCAAGAGGCTGGAGCCTGTACTGATGCAGACTTCACATCTGCGCAACACTGGAACTGGGGGCTGGGGACCGAAGACCTCTTTCTTTGGCACTGCCACTAGTCTGATATTAAGGGCAGAAAATCAGAATTCCAGGGTTGCTTTAAACAAAACCTTCCATTAGATCTGAGTCTGCTCAGTAGCCGGCGCTAATGGCTGCAAAGTGTGGACAAGTGGGTGTCCTGCTGACCCAGTGCTTCAGAAGAATGGGGACCGTGTGACAAGTGCGGGAACTGCCGGCTCCCCCGCCCCGACCCAGGGTGGCTCAAAGGCACTTGAAAGCTGCTGGTCTTAAAAGGTTCTGAATGGTGCCCCACGGTGCCTGTGCATGGAGCCTGTGCCCAGCAGATCTTTTGTGCACAGACTGAGCAAGGTACAGCGTGTCTGGCCCTTGTTGAATTTCCACTTATTCCAAATGATTTAGGAGCAAATTAATAAAGACCACAGGACTGGGAATTCCATGCACCCCAAACCAACAAGAGAAGCTGTTGGGGCCGGCGCTGCGGCTCACTAGGCTAATCCTCTGCCTTGCGGTGCCAGCACACCGGGTTCTAGTCCCGGTCGGGGCGCCGGATTCTGTCCCGGTTGCCCCTCTTCCAGGCCAGCTCTCTGCTGTGGCCAGGGAGTGCAGTGGAGGATGGCCCAAGTGCTTGGGCCCTGCACCCCATGGGAGACCAGGATAAATACCTGGCTCCTGCCATCGGATCAGCGTGGTGCACCGGCCGCAGCGCACAGGCATTGGAGGGTGAACCAACGGCAAAGGAAGAACTTTCTCTCTGTCTCTCTCTCACTGTCCACTCTGCCTGTCAAAAAAAAAAGAGAGAGAGAGAGAAGCTGTTGGTTTCCTGCTGTTCCCTCGGCGGGGTGCAGGGACAGAGCCTGCCTTTGGGAGAGCTGGAGGAATTACTCAGCATGAGCACCTACACAGGGCTTCCCAACAGGGCCATGATCAGGGTCACGGGCCTGAGATGCCTTTGTCTTGGAGGCAGCTGTGCGCATTGTAGGTTGCTTTGCAGTGTCCTGTGCCTGCAGCACATCCAGCCCTCCGAACTGTGGCCACCAAGAACACCTACAGGGACCAGCTCTGTGGCGCAGCATATAAAGCTGCCTCCTGCAGTGCTGACATCCCACATGAGTGCCGGTTCGAGTCTCAGTTGCTCCACTTCCGATCCAGCTCTCTGCTATTGTCTGGGAAAGCAGTGAAAGATGGCCCAAGTCCTTGGGCCCCTGCACCCATGTAGGACACTGGGAAGTAGCTCCTGGCTCCTGACTTTGGATCGGTGCAGCCATTGTGGGCATCTGGGGAGTGAATCAGCAGTTGGAAGACCTCTCTCCCTCTGCCTCTAACTTTCAAATAAATAAATAAATAAATCTTAAAAAAAAAAAAACACCTACAGACACCCATGTGCCACGGCTGGGGCAGAATCGCTGATGTGGGAGAGGCAGCTCATGAGACCCTGTCTTCAAACAGCTTAACATTTGCTCGCAAAGGTAAACCAGGGGTCAAGTGCAAGAAGTCGTGGCACCAGAGAGGCCAGGGGAAGAGAAAAGGCCCCGCTCGTGGTCTCCAATAACTCTCCGCATCATTTCCATTCCAGTGAGTCTTCCCTTCTTCTCTAAGAACTATATTTCTGAAGTCCCAAGTGACACATTCGACTCATTAAGGCTTCTTAATTCCCCCATGAATTATGGCTGCAAGGGTCTGAAGGCCTAGTATCTCGCCTTATTACACCTGTAGTTATGAGCAGTAACTATGGCCTTTATTACAACATTCAGCACCAGCCATTAAATTCGAGGCATGAAAATGATTATTTCACCCCCAAATCCACCACCACTGGCACACTTCCATGCATGTTCTCATACCAAACCCAGCCTCTCAAAGACTGAGGCCTCTGGCTGGCAATACCTGATTTGCTAAGGCTGCCTGTCAATCATTCTTCATCACTTCACATCAAGTCCAAAGTCAAGGTTTCCTTAAGTATTGGCATTAGCTGATATTTCTATAAATAAAGGAAAAGCTGCTGCTGTCACTCTCCCCGTTTCACCAGAAGATCTTCTTTTCCCTGTAGAAATGTAGTAGGGCTAAAACCTTTCGTGTTTAGCTTGGGGCTAAACACACCCTACACGAAGCAGAAAAATCATCTAATTTTTTCAATGAAAGCCTGTGCCAGTCAAACATCTTCTTACCCACTCACACTGAAGAGGCATCAAACAATGTACAAATACCAGAATCCTCCACCACGACAGGCACCTCACCGCGTGCACATTTATGAAAAAGAACCCAATGCAGGGACGGCGTGCGGAACGCCTTTGAGATACGGAAGACGACACGGTGAGCGCTGCCTGCTTTTGGTGTTTAAGATTCCACTGCTAAGGAGGACATGGGCCCGGTTCTCACTGGTCGGGGCTCTCAAAGGTTATAAAACCCGAACATTCACGCTGCTCCACGGTGCGGTGTATCAATAACGTCCAGCGCATCCAGGGGCTCCCAGCCTGAGTCCACTGGCAAAGACACAAAGAGCGTGTGGCAGCTCACAGGGGAAGCCGGGAGTGGTGCAGGAAGCTCTTCCGAGAGGGGAAGAGAGAGAGGCGTCCTCTGTTTCACGAAAGAGTTAACAGAAAGAAATAAAATCAGATATGTGTAGCCTCCAGACGTCCATTAAAGTGCAGAATGCGGCTTTCTATCACAGATTATATGCCAGATGTTCAAACTATCTCTAATCATTGCAGATGTAATGGGGTAGAATGTTGCAGTTTGTGAGTTTACTGGCATTAATCCTATATACTGCACAAGGGAAAAGATTTTAAATATATAATTATATCTCATTAATACTCAGGTTTTATTTCCTTTCAATGGAACAGGACTTATTAAAGCAACCATTTACCGCATGTTTTCTTTCCGTATTTGGCATTCGACACGTAGATATGTGTTAACCTGAGTGCGGAAAAAGCACCCAGGAACGGTTGTGAGTCTGCTGCTACCGAAATGCGCGTTGACACGCATGAGGTACTTTCAGATTGTAAGTGGGTGAGCGGGACTTTAACCGCACGCTCTCCAAGTTGCTGCTCGGGGTGTCTTCACGCCGGGAATATTTGTACTTCTTAATTCGAACGGAAATTGCCTCCGCCGTGGTTCTTTATTGCATGTTGGGAGAAGGTGCATTGTGGGCTCCAGAGGAGGGGGGCCTATGTGGCTGCCGGTGAAAGAGGAGAGACCCGCTCGGCACCCCCATTCTTTCAGGCACTTGCGGGACGCTGCAGGGGACCGAGAAAGTTTTTTTTTTCTTTTTCTTTTTTGCTTTTCTGGAGAATCAGCTCACTCCGAGTGTGGCTCAGAGCTAATGCTGGGGTGAGGAATAAAGAAATCCCCACTAAGGATTCCAGTTCCTCTCCTGCAAAGTAAACAGCAACCACTTCCCGAGCCAGCCTCCTCCTGAGCTGGAGCGCTCTCTGGGCTGCTCCTCCGCTTTGCAGAGACCGTTCTTTGCAGCTTGTCCTTGCAAGCTTGGAACCTTGGCCGTCGCGGGGTCAGGGACCCTCAGCCTCCCTGTGGGTGGAAGGCTGCACGCCCATGAGCTAGGAGATGCTGGGGTTTGCTGCTCCGCAAGCATGAAATCTGAGTGTGTTAGCATCCTAGCTCTCTCTCTGGGCTGATCTTCGGTTCACTCACAGCGGCTTATTTGGTTGTCCTGGTAAGGGACCCTTTGAGCTCAGGACGTATCCTCTTGGTCCCTGATGCCCCAGTGCCATGTGCAGTGCCCAGCACATAATTGGCACTCTCTACCTCTGTCTTAAATGAGAGAATAAAAGAATAAATTACTGGGTCGCCAAGGCCTTTTGGGAAAAGCTGGGTGGGGCTGACAATTCAGCACGACGTCCTTAGCTATCATTTTTGGCGTGGAAGAGAGTTTGATGGGTTCTGCAATAATGAGATTGACGAGACAGATGGTCGCTGCCAGGAATTCAGCAGAGGCCAGGGTGATGGAGAGGCGACGGCTCCGTGTCAGAACTGGGGGGGCGGGCGCCGAGGCATCGGGATCTCAGTTGTGAGTCCAGCCCCCTAGGGATACGGCGATCCACGGTCGGTCGGGCGGGGGCGGTGAGGAGCGAGCCTGCAGCAGCGAGCTGGGCCCATGGAGCAGGGAGCGCAGTGCAGGGGCATCTAGCCAGAAGAGGCTCGTGGCCGGGGACGTCCCCAGGGAGAGTCCTGAGGCTAGGGTGGCGTGGACTGCGGTAGCTAAGGAGACGGAGGCGGTGACCAGGAAGGAAAAACAGCACGCGGAGTCTCAGGAACTACATGCAGCGCAACAGCACTTGCCACTGCTACTTTGAAAAAAATGTTTGTTTTTTCTCTTTTTCTTTTTTTTTAAAGATTCATTTATTTATTTGAAAGTCAGAGTTACACACACACACACACACATACAGAGAGAGAGACAGAGATCTTCATCTTCTGGTTCACTCCCCAATTGGCCACAACGGCTGGAGCCAGGAGCCAGGAGCTTCTTCTGGGTCTCCCATGCAGGTGCAGGGGCCCAAGGACTTGGGCCATCTTCTACTGCTTTCCCAGGCCATAGCAGAGAGCTGGATCGGAAGTGGAGCAGCTGGGACTCGAACCGGTGTCCATATGGGATGCCGGCACTGCAGGTGGTGGCTTTAGCTTCTATGTCACAGCGCTGGTCCCAAAAAACACTTATTTTCATCAACTTGAAAGGCGGGGGGTTGGGGAGAGAGAGAAAGAGAGAGAGAGAGAGAGAGAGAATGAATCAGACTGGGCCAGGCTGAAGTCAGGAACCCAGAACTCCATCTGGGTCTGCCATTAGGTAGCAGAGATCCTGCTGCCTCCCAGGATGTACTCTGGCAGGAAACTGGGTCACACGTGGAGTAGCCGGGACTCAAACCAGGCTCTGGGATAATGTTTGCTAGCGTTCCAAGTGGGAGCCTAACCCTCTGTGCCTGCCCCCACTTTATATACAATACAAAAGCTATTTCTGGACTGGATCTGCAGTCCCCTCCCACTTTCCCTGTGGGACACTAACACTGGTAAGAATAAAACGCCTGAGCCTTTTCCTCCCAAGGGGCAAACCGGGACCGAGCAGAATGAGGTAGGGAGACGTTTCCACGTTAGATCTGCATTAAACTAAGGAGGCCTGGTCTTAGTTTCCTTGTCCTGTTTGGGAGTCGCGTGCAAGCCAGAAGTCTGAGAGTAGCATGGATGTGGCTGTGCTGGGGGGACCACGAGGGGCTGCAGCAGGGGCTTCAGGGCAGCAGGGGGCAGGCTGAGCAGAGCGAGGGGTTGAGAGTCTGCTCAGGACAGGTGCCTGTCTCTGGGGAAGGCCCTGGGGGCTGGCGGCTACCCTTGGGCCCAGTGCTCATTTTCTGGGGGGCTCTGCCAAGTGCAGAGGGCTGGAGTCAGGCTGGTGTGCAGGGAGATGGCACGTGGTGGGAGGAGGCCACTTAGTCATACAGTGAGAATCAGCCCAGCCACTTTAGAACAGGGATGCTTGGAGAGCTATGCCGAGCAGGAGTGGGAAAAAAAGTTGGAGCAGAAAGCTGGGGGTCCAGGGGATTCAGGCAGAGAACTCAGGCTGTTTGCGAACAGTGTCACAATTATTTATCTCTCTGTTGCTTTCTTTAACATGGCTCCTGCTATATACAAAAATCAGCTTGGGACGGGTACTGTGGCATAGTGGGTTAAGCCACTGCTTGTGATGCTGTCATCCCTTATGGGCGCCGGTTCGAGACCTGGCTGCTCCACTTCAGATTCAACTCCCTGCTAATGGCCTGAGAAAAGTGGTGCAAGATGGCCCAAGTGCTTGGGCCCCTGCCACCTATGTGGGAGACCTGGAAGGAGCTCCTGGATCCTGGCTTCTGTCTGGTCCAACCCTGGCTGTTGTAGCAGCCATTTGGGGGAGTGAACCAGCAAATGGAGGATCTCTCTCTCTCTCTGTAACTCTACCTTTCAAATGATAAATAAAAAATAAATCTTAAAAAGAAAATCAGCTTAAGATGGGTTTGTGACCTAAATGTAAGGCTTAAAACTGAATTGCTGGAAGGGAAGTTAGGGGGCACACTTTAAGACATTGGTGGAGGCAACGATTGTTTTGGATAAGACCCTAAAAGCACAGGCAACAAAAACAAAACTAGATAAACGGGACCATATCAAACCAGAAGCATTTGCACTGTAAAGGGAACAATCAATAGAGTGAAGAGACATCTGAGAGAATGGGAAAAAATTTTGCAAGCTAGGTATTCCACAAAGGATTAATACCCAGAATATTTCAGATATTCAAAAAACAATGACAACAACCAAAAAAGCAAGCGACCCAGCTGAACAATGGGCACAGGACCTGGATGGAGAGGTCTCTAAAGAAGAAATACAAATGGCCAACAAGTGGATGAAAACATGCTCAGGACCACCAGGCATGGGGGAAGTGGGACTCAAAACCAAAATGAGAGATCACCTCACCCCTGGTAGAACGGCTGTTATCAAAAAGAGAGTGACACAGCTGGCCAGGACGTGGAACAAGGGGGATGCCTGATCACTGCTGGAGGGGATGGAAATTAGTGCAGCCACTGCGGAAAACAGCAGGCAGATTTCTTACAAAACTAGAAATAGAACTGCAATATGACCCAGCAATCCCACAAAGAGGTACATATCCAGAAGACATGAACTCACGGTATCAGGGAGACACCTGCTCCACCATGTTTAATCACAGCACTGCGCACAATAGCCAAGACATGGAACCAACCAAGGTGTCCATCAGCACATACATGGCTAGAGAAAACGTGCTATGTATATACGATGGGAAACATACTTCAGCCAAGAAAAAGAATGAAATCCTATCATTTGCCGCAAAATTGAGGAATCTGTGTTAAGTGAAATAAGCCACACACACAAAGACAGGTACTGCATGTTCTCCTCCATGCATGGAACCTAAAGAAAGTCAATCTGAACACAAAATGGTGATTCCCAGAGGCTGGGAGGAATAGAGAGAAGAATGGAGGGAGTCTGGGTAATGGGTACCAAATAGAAGTTAACTGGAAGCAAGCAGTCCGTTGTATTTCACAGTGTAGCAGGGAGACAGTCGTCCACAATAACCTACTGTATGAACAAGGAGAAGGAAGCAACCCCAGGCTTCCAATCACAAGGCAATGCCAAGCAAGGGGACGTGGTGATTACCCTGTTTTATCCGTGTGCACTATGCATGTGTGTTGAATTGTCACACTACACATATAAACACTTTCTTAATAAATGCATACAAAGGGTCTCGCCAAAAATTTGCAAAGAAACGTCTATATTCACACAGTTTTCTCTTAGTGCTTCAGAAGGTGGAGAGGGGAGCAGAAAGCTGTCACTTATTGAACACTTGCCCAATGCAAGAAGGCAGGCAAAATGAATTGAAAGATAATTGATCGAAAATTGATATGTGCCAGGCCTCAGCATATTGGAGGGCAGCAACGAAACTTGAATGTATTTAAAGATGTGACGTATGTTGACAAGCATTGTGGTGTAACCTGTTCCAACACTGCTTTGATGCCGATGTCCTGTGTTGGTATGCTGGTTTGAGTCCCTGAGAATGGAGGATGGCCTAAGTGCTTGGGCCCCTGCCAGCGATATGTGAGACCCAGACAGAGTTCCTGGTTCCTGGTTTCTGGCTTTGGCCTGGCCCAGCCTCGGCTATTGCAGTCATTTGGGAAGTGAACCAGAGGGTGGAAGATCTATCTCTCTTTCTCTCTCTGCCTTTCATTTTTTTTTAACTTTTATTTAATGAATATAAATTTCCAAAGTACGACTTATGGATTACAATGGCTTCCCC